TGTGAATAATAAAATGAAATAAAAAGCAGGCTGTCCGATCGCTTCAGCTCCCATAAATCCCTGTCCATCTCCTGCGAAAAGCTCTGGGATTTCACATGGCCGAATTTACGAGGATCTACACATCAATACGTCGAGCTTACGGCGAACACCTTGAAATATCATAAAGGATTTTACCGTGGGACGTTTATAAGGTGCTGACAGAAAAATGTGCACACATTAAAGGCATTGGGACGGGACATCAGTATTATCTGTTTAAACGCAACAGGTCAATACATGAAGACATCAAACTGGATTAAACTAAAGCAGAGTCGATGACAGACGAGTTAACAGGCCTGTAGGAAAGGCAAACCAGCAACTTTGCTACTTTTTCTATTGCCTATGACGGTTCACAGTGGAATACTAGCATACTATATACTGCATACTTCAATAGGATAATATAAAATACATTTAAAAAATGAATGAATGAAATAAGTGGATTCACATTGAACTAATATAGCCTACATAGTGAAACTTTGACATCATATTATACACTCACCGGCCACTTTATTAGGTACCCCATGCTAGTAACGGGTTGGACCCCCTTTTGCCTTCAGAACTGCCTCAATTCTTCGTGGCATAGATTCAACAAGGTGCTGGAAGCATTCCTCAGGGAGTTTGGTCCATATTGACATGATGGCATCACACAGTTGCCGCAGATTTGTCGGCTGCACATCCATGATGCGAATCTCCCGTTCCACCACATCCCAAAGATGCTCTATTGGGTTGAGATCTGGTGACTGTGGAGGCCATTTTAGTACAGTGAACTCATTGTCATGTTCAAGAAACCAATTTGAAATGATTAGAGCTTTGTGACATGGTGGAAGTAGCCATCAGAGGATGGGTACATGGTGGCCATAAAGGGATGGACATGGTCAGAAACAATGCTCAGGTAGGCCGTGGCATTTAAACGATGCCCAATTGGCACTAAGGGGCCTAAAGTGTGCCAGGAAAACATCCCCCACACCATTACACCACCACCACCAGCCTGCACAGTGGTAACAAGGCATGATGGTTCCATGTTCTCATTCTGTTTACGCCAAATTCTGACTCTAACATCTGAATGTCTCAACAGAAATCGAGACTCATCAGACCAGGCAACATTTTTCCAGTCTTCAACTGTTCAATTTTGGTGAGCTCTTGCAAATTGTAGCCTCTTTTTCCTATTTGTAGTGGAGATGAGTGGTACCCGGTGGAGTCTTCTGCTGTTGTAGCCCATCCGCCTCAAGGTTGTGCGTGTTGTGGCTTCACAAATGCTTTGCTGCATACCTCGGTTGTAACGAGTGGTTATTTCAGTCACTGTTGCCCTTCTATCAGCTCGAACCAGTCTGGCCATTCTCCTCTGACCTCTGGCATCAACAAGGCATTTCCGCCCACAGAACTGCCGCTCACTGGATGTTTTTTCTTTTTCGGACCATTCTCTGTAAACCCTAGAGATGGTTGTGCGTGAAAATCCCAGTAGATTAGCAGTTTCTGAAATACTCAGACCAGCCCTTCTGGCACCAACAATCATGCCACGTTCAAAGTCACTCAAATCACCTTTCTTCCCCATACTGATGCTCGGTTTGAACTGCAGGAGATTGTCTTGACCATGTCTACATGCACTGAGTTGCCGCCATGTGATTGGCTGCTTAGAAATTAAGTGTTAACGAGCAGTTGGACAGGTGTACCTAATAAAGTGGCCGGTGAGTGTATATATGTGTGTGTGTGTGTGTATATATAAATATATATATAATAAATATAATTCTTAATTTATAATTATATAATTAAAATGAATAATTCAATAAACTAAAAAGACTTCTAATCTTTAGGCAAAAATAGCTCATTCAAATATTCAAATATATAAAAGTTTAAATATGGTAAAGCTGACCGCAGTTTTGCCCAACACAAATGACTTCCTTAAAAGTAACACCATGGTATATTTCAATGCATACTGTATAAATGAATTTACTGTATGTATTTTAGCATTTTAAGCCAATTTTAAGTCATAAATAAGATTGATATAATTGCATTGCAAGGATTTTAAATCGATGCATCAGGAAAATGAACATAATGAAACATTATACCACTAATATGCAATAAACAATACATTTTAAAAGTAGTACTTTGATGCATTGTTGTCACATGGTCTCGTCACATTTTATGCTTAATGAAGTGAGGCATCATCGTCCGGGTCATTTGTCACAATGCACATGGAAGGTCAAGTATTGCATGCTGGGATGCATTGCTAGGCATGACATGCGCCGCTGCATATTATTTAGCAACACAAATGATTATATACACATAATATAGAATGCAATGCATACTAGTTTCTTTCAAAAACTGCTGTATGCAGCAACACACTCTGAACAAAAAAGCAGTCTGTGCACAAATCAGGGCTAAGAGAAGCTGACAATCCTCAGATAGGCAAACCCTTTCCAATTGGCCATGTGATTAGATCAGTTTTCTGGTGAACATAACAGCTGTGATCCCCCAGAGGGCATTAGCATCAAACCCTCGCTGTCCTGTGGCGGGACACTGACCCCTGTGGCGGGACACTGACCCCTGAGGTCACGACAGTAATCTGCAGTCCACTCGTTCAGAACTGTCAGCGGGAACTGGAGAAACACACTTCAGCACACACACGCACTTTAGAAACGATATGACGGGTGTTTATTTGATACCTATGCTGGGTAAACCTCAAAGTCAGTGTGTGTCAGTCGAGGAACTGCTGGAAAATGAGGGCATGTGCTCGTGTGGTTTATTTCTGTTGTGGTCTACTAAGAAGCTGGAGCTCTGATGTTTTCGAGTTGATGCAGGGCAACGCGTGACGCCCACCTGAAGCTGGCATATTCAAACTCACTTTCTTAACAAAAAATAAAATAAAAAAAGAAACAAAATGTATTCTGCTGTTAGCATTTTTTTGGACAGATGTACTATGGTAATACTATGCAGGGCTTCCACACCTACTGATCCAATACGTCTCATGACCTTTCTGTGACTCTCCTGGTTCTGTGTGTGTGGACTGCAAGAGTGTGCTTATATATATATATATATATATATATATATATATATATATATATATATACACACACACACACCACCGTTCACAAGTTTTAGATTGGCAAGACTTTTTTATGTTTTTAAAGAACTGTTTTAATGTTTTAAAAGTATTTCTTTGTATTTTGGATTAAATAAATGAAATAGATATATATATATATGTGTGTGTGTGTTAGAAAACAATTGAATACCATGAATTTTTCTTGTAGAAAATAAGATAGAATTTCTTATTTATTAAAAATATTCTTATACTAATAAAAGAAAAAATATATAATATAATTATTATTTATAATATAATTTATAACACATTTACTATCACATTATGAATTTATAATACTTTATCACTAAAAATAAAAACTACTACCGGTATATATATATATATATACACTCACCGGCCACTTTATTAGGTACACCTGTCCAACTGCTCGTTAACACTTAATTTCTAAGCAGCCAATCACATGGCGGCAACTCAGTGTATTTAGGCATGTAGACATGGTCAAGACAATCTCCTGCAGTTCAAACCGAGCATCAGTATGGGGAAGAAAGTTGATTTGAGTGACTTTGAACGTGGCATGATTGTTGGTGCCAGAAGGGCTGGTCTGAGTATTTCAGAAACTGCTAATCTACTGGGATTTTCACGCACAACCATCTCTAGGGTTTACAGAGAATGGTCCGAAAAAGAAAAAACATCCAGTGAGCGGCAGTTCTGTGGGCGGAAATGCCTTGTTGATGCCAGAGGTCAGAGGAGAATGGCCAGACTGGTTCGAGCTGATAGAAGGGCAACAGTGACTGAAATAACCACTCGTTACAACCGAGGTATGCAGCAAAGCATTTGTGAAGCCACAACACGCACAACCTTGAGGCGGATGGGCTACAACAGCAGAAGACTCCACCGGGTACCACTCATCTCCACTACAAATAGGAAAAAGAGGCTACAATTTGCAAGAGCTCACCAAAATTGAACAGTTGAAGACTGGAAAAATGTTGCCTGGTCTGATGAGTCTCGATTTCTGTTGAGACATTCAGATGTTAGAGTCAGAATTTGGCGTAAACAGAATGAGAACATGGAACCATCATGCCTTGTTACCACTGTGCAGGCTGGTGGTGGTGGTGTAATGGTGTGGGGGATGTTTTCCTGGCACACTTTAGGCCCCTTAGTGCCAATTGGGCATCGTTTAAATGCCACGGCCTACCTGAGCATTGTTTCTGACCATGTCCATCCCTTTATGGCCACCATGTACCCATCCTCTGATGGCTACTTCCACCATGTCACAAAGCTCTAATCATTTCAAATTGGTTTCTTGAACAGGACAATGAGTTCACTGTACTAAAATGGCCTCCACAGTCACCAGATCTCAACCCAATAGAGCATCTTTGGGATGTGGTGGAACGGGAGATTCGCATCATGGATGTGCAGCCGACAAATCTGCGGCAACTGTGTGATGCCATCATGTCAATATGGACCAAACTCCCTGAGGAATGCTTCCAGCACCTTGTTGAATCTATGCCACGAAGAATTGAGGCAGTTCTGAAGGCAAAAGGGGGTCCAACCCGTTACTAGCATGGGGTACCTAATAAAGTGGCCGGTGAGTGTATATATATCGATTTTGTGATAAAGTAATCTATCAGCTAATAGATTGAAAAAAGGACAAAATTATTAAGCGTTCTTCTTTCTTCTATTCACCATTCACCATGGTTTTGTTCTTATTTTTAAAAAAAATATAAAGTAAATACATAAAAGTTTAAACACAGACCATACTTTATTTTAAGATTTGGAACATAAAAAAAAGAAATTAAAACCTCTAAATCCAAACAAATATGAATACAAAAGCAAGATATTACTTGAAAAATAAAGTTCTACAGCATCACTGATGATGGAAAAAATCAGGAATGGAACTTCCTGAGCTTCAACACGTCATCTTAAAAAAAGTATGAAATATTTGTTATAACCAAAAAAAAAAAAAAAAAAAAATGAAACCTGTTTACAAAAGAGAACACTTTCACTGTTAGAGTTTACATGAACAGCAACAAAACACAACACGTCCAGTCCAGATTCCTGCTAGTCCACAGTGTTTCCCATCTAACGGCCCTGCAAACACACAGACACGCTCCGTGACAGACACACTCCTCGCGTTCTTCACGTCAGCAGGCCAGGAAAGTCATCCCGTTCCTGCGGTAGGCACTCTGTCGGGGAACAGCGGAGAAAAGGAAATGTGTTATGAATTATACTGGAGCTCCACAGAGGCAGAAGGCCGGCTCTTGTTTTCCGGTTTCGTAGACGACACGGGCTGGAATGTGCAGCCCTTTTTTTTTCTCTTTAATGTTTAATCGAAGTTTTTCTGGTTCTGTGGGTTACGAGACACCGTCCTCATCTATTAGAAACGTAGATACAAAACAAATGTGGTTAACAAGTGGTTTATGAATCTATTTGGGGAAACGGCATTCTGATCTGTTGAAGGCTTGACTTTAAGAATGTCACAGGGGTGTAATTGTGAGGGTCCACAGAACTGCAAAGTAGTTGTTATATGGTTCACATATTTTATTTCTGAACTGTATAACAACTAGGTTGCAAATATGTTTTATGATTTAAATATTTTTGCCTGAATGTTAGAGACTGAAATATTAAAATCATCATGTAGAAATATACACTACCATTCAAAGGTTAGGGACATTTTTTTTTTTTTTGTGGGGGTGTTTTTGAAAGAAATCTTTTATGCTCACCAAGGCTGATTTATTTGATAAAAAATGCAGTAAAAACAAAGATTTAGAAATATTATTACAATTTATAATAGCTGTTTTCTACGTGAATATACTGTATTCCTGTGATGCAAAGCAACATTTTCAGCATCATTACTCACATGATCTTTCAGAAATCATTATAATATGCTGATTTGCTGCTCAAGAAACATTTTTTATTATTTTCAATGCTGAAAACAGTTGTGCTGCTTCATATTTTTGTGGAAACTGTCATAAAAAACATTTCCAGGATAAAAAAACCCATTTATTTGAAATTATTATTATTAATAGAAATATTTTGTAACATTATAAATGCCTTTGCTGTCACTTTATCACTCGATTTAATGTGTCCTTGCTAAATAAAAGCATTAATTTATACTATAATTTATACTTACTGACTCCAAGCTTATGAACGATTTTTCTGAAAATAGTTTGTATAGGATCGCAAAAGTATTGTATGGGTCAATGACGTGGCTTCATTTGTTTTGTGTTGATTTATCTATTATAATTCTATAAAATTATTACAAAATTCATTAAATGACCATGATTTTTAATATTATCTAATTTAAAAATATTAGGGCTATCACCCTAATCGCGATTAATCACATCCAAAATAAAAGTTTGTGTTTACATAATGTGTGTGTGTACTGTGCATATTTATATTGTATATATATATATATATATATATATATATATATATAAACACACATACACACACATGCATGTATATATTTAAGAAAAATGTGTTATTTATATATAAAATATTTATATTTATATAGAATATAAATTATATATATATACACACAGTATATACAAATATCTCTTATTATATACATGCATGTGTGTGTATTTATATACACAAAATAATTATACACAGTACACACACACATATTATGTACACAAACTTTTATTTTGGATGCGATTAATCATTGCACAGCCCTAAAAAAAAAATTATATATATATTTTTACTTCTAAATGAAGCATTCATTTTGTTTGGATAACCACAGGTCATTTTTAGAGCCATTCAAACAAAACTTTTGTTAAAAAAACGGTATAAACCGACATAAATGTTCTCAGTTAGTTGCGTAACCTTCATATGAGGCGTTTAATGTTTAACATCATCTGTCATTCGAGTTACCATAAGCACTTGGTTGGATGGTAACAAGCGGTCACACACACAAACATCATTTTAATTATTTAAGACATGTTTCTGCCAACAGAGATCTGTATTTTATGAACGAAACCATCAGATCACCACAATCCCGGGGTGAAAGGCGGATGCAGTCACGGGCAACATATAAAAATAACAAGTGTCTTTATGAACTCAACACGGCAAACTCCTCTGACAGTCTGTTATAGCACTATTAATTATGATTATTCAACCACAGGGAGAAACCATTGCAAGAACAGGACAATACAGCTGCATTGTGGGTAAAAAAGGAAGGAGCCGACAGAATCCAAACCCAGTCTGGGTGGTAGATTATTATATATGTCATTTAATTTCCTCGTCATAAAAGAAAAGGAGAACTCGAACCAGATGTGTGCCGTTTGGCCTCGTCCTCCATGCGATACAATTTGTTTTTTTGATGCGTGTGTTCTTGCATTCGTATTATGGCGAACTCTCTTCATTTGGCTGGCATTTTAACGGGCAAAAAAAGCCAAATGGAGACAGGTCCCAGACGGTAGAGGAAAACAGACGACTCAAACTAGATACAGGCCTAGAAACATGAACTGACATGAAAAAAAACACGACAAAAAAAAAAAAAAAAAAGAGAAAGGATATTGTGAAAGCTCTCATTCCACGTCGGACAACCTGGAACTTATAAAGCGAGATTCCCGCATATCAAAGCTCAAAGGTCGAGGCTTGATTTGCTCGCGACTTCTGTTTCTTTGGGTCATTATCTCGGAGTCAAATTATAGGATCAGCACACTGGGAAGCGGATTGCTAATCAGGAAGAACGAGGAAAAGGAGAACATACGATCCTCCGGTCAAGAATCGACTGTAACAGGAACGCTTCTGCGTTTACACCTGTATCTGTTACACTGGATGTGGGAAAAACTGCGTTCAAATTTAACTCGATACATCGACAATGCCGTAACAACCATTTAAAACATAACGTACATGAACAAGCATTTCAAATGTTTGAATGAAAAACGGATGCAATATAAAAGTTTTGGCTCACTGAACTGATCGATTTCAATTTCAGTGAATTCTGATCTGATTCGGTTTCCCTCAGCCTGACAGATTGAGAATGAATGGTGCTTTATTAAAAGCTGGATTTTTCCAGCACAGCGACATTCTCAGTTACATTCGGCCTTGCTCACAACATCGCCAGGCTTATTTTCCAACATAAAAATACACATCCTCGAGGAAGCTGACCAAGAGGAGTTCCCTAAAGATCCTGAAAAATAAATAGCCATGAAATCCACCCTGATATATGTATATAATGTGCATGTTTCAAGGGGAAGCAATTGAGATATATCTCAGGGAAGAGTTCCTTCCTGTGTGGAATATATATTTTCATCCTGACGTCTGCACATGAGACCTGTCGCAGCGTCTCAAGCCTTGTCCTCCCCTCTGCTAATTATTTATACTTTGCGAACGGAAAACAGCACAAATTCGACTACTCATGCAGTGTGGAATAGTTGTCTGAAAAAATCTGTATTTGAGAAATGTGTTTTTTTTTACATTTTTAACCAAACATTATTTGTTCTTCTTAAATATTTCACCTGAATTAAAACAAATTAAATAAATTACAAATATGAACAATTATGGCTGTTACCAGTAAAAAAAAAAAAAAGTCTATTATAAAAAAAATTATTATTAATAAATTATAAATATATACACAGTCAAACCAAAATGTATTCAGACACCTTCAACATTTCTCACATTATCACAGTTTATTCGCTATAGTTTAGAAAATGCTAATAAAATATGACAAGAACTCAAAGTTATTAAATCAGTTGATATTTCACTGGTTTTGGCCATCCTTCTGTTAGACTCTCACAAATGAATCAGGTTGAATATCTGTCAGCTGTTAAATTTAAGCACACCGTTAGAGAATACCAATTTAGGTCAACCAATTACCAAGCAATGCTTCATTTTGTTTAGTCTGTGGTGTAAAATGGTCGCATTAGCAATTAAAGAAAAAACGCTCAAGTAAAACATGGTCAGGTCAAAGTGTCAATGATTTTTGGTCCCAAATTTTTATAAATATTACTGGTAGTCCACTGTATGAATAATTTTTGGGTATGATATGTCACAGTTTACTTTATTTTGCTCTCCTCACTTACATAAATGAACTATAGTGTCCTGCACCCACTAGTAAACAAATATAAAAAATTATACGGATGTAACCCCGGCATCCTGGCCAAATTTGCCCAGTGGCCTCTGTCCGTCATGGCCTCCTAATCATCCCCATATATATATATATACACTGATTGGCTTCATCTCTGTCTCCTCTCCACCCAGGGCCGGCGCTAGCTATAGGCAGAGCAGGCGATTGCCTAGGGCCTCGGGCTTTGAGGAGGGGCCTCCATAACCGTAACATCCCCTATATAGTCCACCAGACGGGCAGAAATAAATAGCCTCATTGTTCATTGGATATTGTTGAATTGTCACTCATCTGCAGTTAAACCAATTAATGTTTCCGTTTCAAAGCGGGCCGGCTTCTAAAGTTTGTGCGGACGCATCCATCAGGTGCGAAGCAAAAGCCTAATAGGCACGCAAAGCACAGCTCGTAATGCAGGTGTGTGAGTTGTCGTCATCTATTTTGGAGTGATTGCAATGTATTCTAAATATAAACTTGTACTGTAGTCAGCGTAATTTCTGGAAAAATCATTCACCGCTTTATTACGAGTTTAAAAGAGCGCGAGCGTCATTAACGTGCCCAGACGCGACGCTTTGAATTTGCGCGTACAATGAATAACATCGCGTCGGGAGCTGACTAGTAAAAAAGCTACAAAACAAGTATAAGACAAGACGTTTGTATTCAAAGTTAAAAAGCCTACACATTTTTAAATGTTTCAAATAAAGGATCTCATGGGTCTATTTTCTAAATTCTGCTGATGATTATACCCTGACATCATCGCCTACTTACGCCAATAATCAGTTTAGATTTTTTTTTCTAATCAGTAGCGATCGTGTCTTTCTCTTCCACTTGATTTGTGTATAGCATATTTAAGCTAACAATGCAATGCATAATGTCATATTACTCATATTAATAATTATGACAATATCTGCAGTCAATATTGATTAAATGGGAGGGAAAATCCTGCCCATACCGCAGCTATGAAAAAAATGATAAAAGCACTTATGTTCATCTCCTGAAGTGGTATTCTGGAACTGTGAATAAATTGAATAAAACAGCAAAATAACAACAATAACATCTTCATTAAAAAAAAAAGAGATGACCTTAGATAATCTTTTTTAAAATTCTTTTTTAAAA